AACTCTTTAAATAATTTTAGTCTCTTTGAACATCTAAACCCTCAACTATAAACTGGGACCTCACAGGATTGTTGTGAAGAAGTCAATGATTGTGGGTAAAAGCTCTTTGTAAATATATTGGTAAGCTTCAGGCAGGAACAAATTTAAATTACCCAAGTGAAGAGTTTGTCCTTTTTAAAACAACCATAATTTATAATCCCAGAATGTTTTCCTACCAGTCCTCTAAGTGCAAAGATATATCTATGTTGTAGTTTAGGTTTCTGCTCCTTATTCGTAGACCTTGGAGAGCCTCCATGAGCTGGGGTAGCTTTCACATTTTAAGGTCTCTTATCTTTTTATTTTAATACTAGAGGCCCGATGCACGAAGTTCATGCAAGAGTAGGCCCTCCTTCCTCTGGCTGCCAGCACCAGTTTCCCTCTGGCACCGGGGACCCAGGCTTTCCTCACAGCCCTGGCTTCATCTGGAAGGTCGTCAAGAAGGTCTAATTAGCATATTATGCTTTTATTAATGTTAGGTTAGGTGGGCCAGGAGGCGGAGTAGGAAATAAAGAGAGTCGAGTTAATCAGAAAAGAAAGAAAGGAAAGGCTTTATTCTGCGTCCCCGGGTGACCCACGGGCCCCAAAGACAGGGCACATGGGTCTGCACCAACAGGGAGGGGGGCGCTTTTTTTTATACAGCTGTTCAGTGAGGGCGGGGGAGCATGAGCTGTGGGAGTTCCCGCCGTGCGGGTTGTCACGGTTTCCAGGTGTCGTCATCTGCCTGGTAGCTGACCCAGCCGTGGGCAAACTACGGCCCGCGGGCCGGATCCGGCCCGTTTGAAATGAATAAAACTAAAAAAAAAAAAAAAGACCGTACCCTTTTATGTAATGATGTTTACTTTGAATTTATATTAGTTCACACAAACACTCCATCCATGCTTTTGTTCCGGCCCTCCGGTCCAGTTTAAGAACCCATTGTGGCCCTCGAGTCAAAAAGTTTGCCCACCCCTGCTTAGGAATTCCAGGGCGGGACCGGTATCTGCGTCACCATCTACCTGGTGCACTGGCCTGCTATGGATTCTAGGAAGGGTCCAGTATCTGCGTCACCATCTGCCTGGCGGAGGCATGCATCAGCTCCTGGACCCCCCTTTCGACCTAACAATTATTATAGATATTTTTATTGATTTCAGAGAGGAAGGAAGAGGGAGAAGCATCAATGATGAGAGAGAATCATTGACCGGCTGCCTCCTGCACATCCCCCACTGGGGATTGAGCCTGAAACCTGGTCATGTGCCCTGACTGGGAATCAAACCATGACCTGGTTCATAGCTCCTCACTCAACCACTGCACCATGCTGGTAGGGCTGAGGCCTCTCACCACGAATCAGCCTTCTTCCACTCATGAAGCTAGTCCTAGGGATGCATATGCTTCATTTAGGATTAATATTTATGACAATACCTTTCCTTGCCCCCTGAGCATCCAACACTGAATAGCAGCCAGAACCTGAAACCCCCTGGTGCTTGAAACCTGGGTTAAATGGTTCCAGCTCATGGAAGACCCCTCCCTCAACCTCTCAAAATTGGGCCTTTTCATTGTGAGATAGTTTAACATTCACTTTGTTTTTCTCTTGTCCTTGAGCCTCACCTTGATTTGCCCTAGCAGGCTAAAGAGCTTAGCAACTCAGCCAGTGAGAGGGAGTCCTGATGATCCAGTGGGAAGGATGGAAGAAGGGGCAGGAAGGTTACAGTGACAGAAGAGACTTTTATTGGCTACCCTTAGTGCTCAGGGATGTTTTCATGGGCCTCACCTAGAGTTATACTTGGATCAAATGAAAAGATGGGATCATTAACTCATCCCTGGAATGCTGTCTAGCAACACTGGTGACATAATTGCTATAGTCTGATTCCTCTGGGCTGACTGCTCACAAGGGATCCCAGCTGTTGTTGGGAGATCCTAGCATTTTGCAAGTTTCTCCAGTCCTCCTGTTGCTTCTGTTTTCATGATGGTTGTAACTCCCTTTTCCCATTTTCCTTCGTAGTGTCTCTAATCTCAGGTTAGTTTTTGGATTGAAACGTCTTCCCATCAGTTCATAGGTGGCCCCATGAACACTGGAACAGCTATGGCATTCAGTTTTTTAAACTTCTGCTCCATTCAGACTATTTCTACCATACCTGCCATATTCAATCTTACTTCCTCACGTTTGCCCTCACTACGGCCCTCACCTAGAGTGCTCTTCCCTTATTAATCTTAAGTCATTCTTCCTTACACAGTTCTCAAGAACCCATTTCAATTTAATTAAACTCTTATCAAAGTCCTAGTATTTATTACATGGTAGGCATTGTGTTAGATTGTGGGGACATAAAGGTTAATGAAATGAGAATGTGGCTCCTGACCTCATGGAGCTCACATTCTTGGAGGGAAGGAAGGCAAGAAAACTCATTGACTATAATGTGATCAGAGATATCACTTAATGGCAAGGGAAATACACGTGTCTGGAAGAGGTTAGGGCAACTTATGTATTTTCTACAGAACTATTATGCCCTGGCTGGGTAGCTCAGTTGGTTAGAGCATCATTCAGATATGCCAAGGTTGTGGGTTCCATCCCCAGTCAGGGCACATCCAAGAATCAACCAATAAATGTATAAATAAGTGTAATGACAAATCGATGTTTCTCTCTAATAAAAATAAATAAATAAAAAAGTTTTTAACTGTTTTGAACCACTCAAGCCCAGATTTATGTATGTTTTCTGGGAATTCTTATGCTTGGAGTCACTTAGCTTAGTTCTTGTTATTCTTGTGTCACAAACAGATATAAGCCCCTTGAATTTAAGAACCATGTTCTTTTGTATCCCACCCATGGCACATAACATATTATTGAACATAATATTCACTAATACATACTTATTTGGCTTAATTGTTGGTTGCTTGATTTAGGATACAATGGAGTTGGAGAAAGAGTTTCGGTTGGGGAATTAGGCGGCAGGAAGCCAATATGGGTGCAAGATTAATGAACAGATTACAACTGAGGGTATTTGGGTCTCAATCCTTTTCAGGGGACTATATAGAATTTTCCCCAGAGGTGTCTTATCCAAGGAAGTTGAGGTAGTTATTCACAAATTTCCATCCATCATTAGATGGTGGGCTGCTGAGTTGTTAATGCCCTGCCCATGCGTGGACCAAGCTCAAAGCCTAAGTCCGAGTCACAGGTGCTTAAAGTAGAAAGAGATCCTGAGAGTAAGAAAACAGTGAGGACCAAGGTAATATCCATGGGGCACTGGCAGCATCTGTTGTAATCTCTCTCTATATATATAAGGCTAACATGCAAAGTGTCCCCTTGGGAGTTCAACCGGGAGACCGGGAATTCGATCGCTCACTATGGCATGCGCTGACCCCCAGGGGAAGGCGCGGAACGAAGGAAGGCCCCGATCTGCCCTGATAGATGGCCAGGCCTAGGGACTCTACCTGTGCATAAATTTTGTGCACCAGGCCTCTAGTATACTAATAATATACAAAGGTGTCAATTGAGTCATTGTATATAATAATTAAACACTATACACAACCTACATATATTTTAGAGGGGATTGGCTAAGGATGCCTAACCAACCTTATGACAAAGATATAATTTCTGTTAAGCTTTTTCAAAGACTAAAACCAGGAGTCCTTAACCTAGTCTGGAGGGTGAGAGAAGGCCTCTTTTGGAAAGTGATGGTAGCCATGTATGTTGGGAGGGAAGCTAAGAGGAACAATCCAAGCAGAGGGAGTAGCACTGCAAAGCCCTGAGAAAGGAGGAGGCTTGGAGCTGGGCTTATGTGGCTGGAATATAGAGAATCAGGACAGACTGGCTTCCTGAGGTTCATGGTAGGCAAGGACCAGAGTAAGTGGGATTAGGATTTAGGGAATTGATCCTGGGGACAATGGGAAGCCATGAAAAGGCTTAAATTTTGCAGCAGATGTTTAGAATGATGGCTCTGGTTGCAGAATATGGAGGGTAGAAACCTACACTACACTGCTTGGCCTCTGAGTTCTTTGGTGAAGTGAAGGGTGTCAAGCTGCCAAGAACATATTCCAAAGCTGATTATTGTTGTATTTAAACAAAAGAATGATATACTTAAATGCATAGCCCATGCACATGGGCAATAGGGTAGAGAAGACCTGGGGGTTGAGTAGGGACTGGGAGGAGCGGGGAAATGGGAGATATCTGTAATACTATCAACAATAAAAATATATTTAAAACAAAGATATTGTGGAAATCATTATTGGGAAAAAATTGTATACTCATTTAAATAATCAGATCTACTTTTAAAACATTTTTTAAAAATATATTTTATTGATTTTTTACAGAGAGGAAGGGAGAGGGATAGAGAGTTAGAAACATCGATGAGAGAGAAACATCGATCAGCTGCCTCTTGCAAACTCCCCACTGGGGATGTGCCCGCAACCAAGGTACATGCCCTTGACTGGAATCGAACCTGGGACCCTTCAGTCCGCAGGCCGATGCTCTATCCACTGAGCCAAACCGGTTAGGGCAACATTTTTATTGAATTTATTGGGGTGACATTGATTAATATAATTATATAGGTTTTAAGTGTACAATTCTATAATACATCATCTGTATATTGTTTTGTGTATTCACCACCCAAAGTGCCCCCTTTACCCTCTTCTATCTTCCATACCCCCTTTTCCTCTGGTAATCAACATGCTGTTGTCAGTGTTTGAATTTTTGTTGTTATTGTTTTGCTTAATTCCTTCACCTTTTTCATGAAGTTCCCTAATCCCCCTCCCCTCTGACAGCTGTCAGCCTCTTATCTTTATCTATGCTATCATAGGGTCTCAGCTAACCCAGTATTTGCCTCTTTGAGCTCGTAAGACCGCAACAGTGGTCAAGTAAGGTGAAATTGAAATCAGAAGGCCTGGATCAGTCAACAAATATTCATTGAGTATCTACTCTGTGTCAATTTTAAAGCCTCCTTTAGAGGTAACACTGGACTGGCTTTTTCTTGTCTTAGCTATCTTTCTAAGCCACAGACTTTAAAAACAAATGCTTTGTTTTCAGTTTGCCACAGAAACATTCCTGGGACTGTGACTACCTTGACCTATGCAGGGTGACGCAGCTGCCCGGGGACATGGTGCTTAAAAAAAAAAATGCTTTGAATTATATAGCTTTAGGACTGCTCATGGAAGGATGTACGTGATACCCTAAGTTTAAAAAACAAGTAATAACTATAATGACCCCATTTTTTGTAAAGATCAAAAAAATAAAATGCTATACACTTTGTGTTTGGGTGTGTGTGTTCATTGAAAAAGACATGGAAGGATTACACATTAAACTATGAACAGTGGTTACCTTGTGACTAAAGACAGAGGGAATGGTCATTTTTTATTTTTATACTTGTATTTGAATTCTTCAGTTTAAGCATGTATTATTTTTGTAATTAAAAGATGAGTAAACAATAATGTTAAATGCATAACATTGTTCATGTTTATAGCAACAATATATGCATTATATACAATGTATAAGTATTATATATACATATACTATATATGGTATGATATTGTACGGGGTGAGGCAAAAGTAGGCTTACAGTTGTTCCTATGGAAAATAATACAATAATTAATAAATAACAATACAAGAATAAACTGTTTTACATACTCACAACTGTAAACCTACTTTTGCTCCACCCTGTATATACATTTACTATATATATGGTGTAAATGTTATTCTTGAATGTTATTTACATACACTGGATTCACATGTTTAAGGGGAAATCCACTTGCTGGCAGTGCTAGTTAATGATCTGTTTTATGTTTTCAAAGGGATTGCTTTTTTAAAAAAACAATAGCTGAGGTTTTTACTTATTTATGCTTTATCATTAGGGTCTGCTTTATATATTTTTAAATAACTTTTTATTTTTCAATTACAGTTGATGTACAATATTATATTTGTTTCAGGTGTACAACCCAGTGATTAGACAATTATATAACTTATCAAAGGGATTGCTTTAAAAACTTTTTTTTAAAATCCTCACCCGAGGATATTTTTTTATTGACTTTTTAAAAAATATATATTTTATTGATTTTTCACAGAGGGGAAGGGAGAGGGACAGAGAGTCAGAAACATCGATGAGAGAGAAACACCGATTAACTGCCTCCTGCACACCCCCTACTGGGGATGCGCCTGCAACCAAGGTACATGCCCCTGACTGGAATCGAACCTGGGACCCTTCAGTCCCCAGGCCGACGCTCTATCCACTGAGCCAAACCGATCAGGGCTTTATTGACTTTGAGAGAGAGAGAGAGAGAGAAAGAGAGAGAGAGAGAGAGAGAGAGAGAGAGAGAGAGAGAGAGAGAGAGAGAGAAACATTAAAGTACTTGCCCTGACTGGGGATTGAACCGGAAAACTTTTGGTGTTTGGGAAGATGCTCCAAACAACTGAGTCACTTGGCCAGGGTCAAAGGGATTGCTTTCTAATTCTTTTTTTTTTTTTAAAAAATATACTTTATTGATTTTTTACAGAGAGGAAGGGAGAGGGATAGAGAGTTAGAAACATCGATGAGAGAGAAACATCAATCAACTGCCTCCTGCACACTCCCTACTGGGGATGTGCCTGCAACCAAGGTACATGCCCTTGACTGGAATCGAACCTGGGACCCTTGAGTCCGCAGGCTGGCGCTCTATCCATTGAGCCAAACCGGTTAGGGCGCTTTCTAATTCTTGTTTCCTTATTTCCTTTTGTAATTTCTGTTTAGTATACACATTTCAGTTTTTCTAATGACATAAAAAATTTACATCAGGAGGGTAATTGATTGCCTAGAACAGAGCTTTTTAATTTTAAAACATTTTTTTTAGGAGAAATTAACTTCTCTTGCACTCTGTGAACCAAGGGAGAATACCATTTCCTTAAAAAAAAAAAAAAAAGGTTAAGTTTCATATCCTTCAGAAACACAATAGTCAATGGGTTTCGTTTTTTAAAATAGTTCTGGAATACCCACTGTTTCCTAGTCAGATGTAGCACTTTTTCATATGACTCTATGAGATTATAATTATAATTGGGCTTTAAATTTCATGAAGGCTGGGTTAAGGGCCTATCAGGTTCACCACTGCAAATAACACAGAGATGGGAAGATACCTGGGGCTTAATGTTGGTGCAAAGAGGCCATTAGGTGCATATTCTGAAGAAAGAACTAGCACCAAAACTATCATGGGAGAAGTTTCAGGCATTTATTTATATATTTAAAAATACTGATTATGTAGTTTGGTATCTGTCCTGAGGATATAAAGAAAAATAGTCTTGCCCTAGCCCATTTGGCTCAGTGGATAGAGCGTTGGCCTGTGGAATGAAGGGGCCGGGGTTCGATTTCCGTCAAGGGCGCATGCCTGGGTTGCAGGCTCGGACTGACGTGCAGGACGCGGCTAATCAGTAATTCCCTCTCATCATTAATGTTTCTCTCTCTCTCTTCCTCTCTGAAATCAATAAAAATATATTAGAAAAAGAAAAATAGTCTTGTTATAGTATTGCACATGATTTGAGTAAGATTGCTACTTCACTCGAGTTTTCTGTGTCCTTTGTGGGTGCATAGATTTGTTGCTTTATGTGATGTTAAGCATATATTGTTTACTCTGTGTAGCCTGGGAGTGTTACAAATAGAAGCGAAATTAGAGCTTCGAAAACTTTAAAAATTTTTGAAGCACACTTGGTTGTTAAAAGGAATATTAAAAATGACAGGCAGATATGTCCTATACCTCAAAGTTTAGTAATTAAATTCACCTTTAAAATTACAAAGAAAACTGTTAGAGGACTATCTTAGCCCAGACATTTATCTCCCTTTAGAAAACAGGAACTCAGACAATTCCTAAATTTTAACGGTCTATTAAATCCGAATACCACATTAACAATGGTATGAAATTATTGAGATCAATAATTAGTTTTCGACAATGTTTCGTAGCTTCACATGAGAAAAGACAAGCTCTCCACCCCCTTTTACTTCTCATTCGTATGCAGTATCACATTAAGAATGAAAAATATGTCAAAACAATCTTTATGTGTAGTTTATTATATATCAATTATACTTCGATAAAGCTTCTAAAAAACACAAAACAAACAAAAAAGAAATAAAAATTCTACTTTATAGGGGACAAATAAAGGAATTGCTTCATTTATTTCTTCAGAGCGGTTACTTCTGGACAACAACAAAGTATCTCCACAGAGCCTGGTAACCTAAGGAAGCAAATTTTATCTACTTGGTCCTTTTTTTTTTTTTTTTAGCCTACATGTTTATTTCTATCTTTACGCGGTGGAAAAACAAAACAAAACACCGTTTTAGTAGATTGTATTATGCTGCAGTTGCACGGCAGAATTAGTTGAAGAGTATCATTTCCAGCCTCCAAATAGGATTTTAGAAGCTTGGGAAAGAGCCTTAGAGAGCCTTAGAGTTGAAATATACACATTTTCCCGACGTGCCCCAAACAGCGTATTCTTAGGCTGTTTCGACCAGAGGGGGCTCCTCAAAGATCTCTTCCAAATCCACACACACACACACACACACACCCTCTCAATAAAGACCTTTTCCTGGGGATTCAACTCAAGACAGCCAGCCTAGGTGTTGTTTTTTATTTATTATTATTATTTTTTACCTAGGTGTTTTTGTTGGCGGATGTGGGCAGCAGCATGCTGAAGTCGCCTCGAGCGACTCTCCCGAGGTTAAGGGTAAAGTCGGAGTCCCCCCCACCTTCCCCCCGCCCCCCACAACCCCGCTCAGTGCGGGGAGACAGCGGCCGCAGCAGCTGGCCCCGCCCAGGCTCTGGGGAGCACCTGAGCCTCGAGCGGCGAAGGGGATGGGGAGGGCAGGGAGTCTCCGCCCCCCTGGGCCCCCACCCCGCCGCAGGGGAGGGCGGGAGGAGGATGATTGACAAAGCTGATCAGTGGCTTAGGGCTCGCAGAGGGCGGGGCGAAGCGGGGCCGGCTGAGCTTTCCCCTTAAACGGTTGGGTTGGGCCTCGGGATCGGCCTCCCGGCCTCCCAGAATGGGTTGTTATGGTAACAAATGACCGAACAGTCCCTTACGAACTGGCCAATGAGAGGGCCCGTCTTTTCCACCGCACCTCTGAGCCCGAGGTGTTGCGAAAGGCCGGGTGCGGGCGGCGAGCGGACGGTGCCCGGACGTTCTGCGGAAGAGCGGGGGCGGGGCTTGTGACGGCACCACGATCAGCCTATCACGCTCGTTCTTGCTCAACGGCCCCGCCCCTTTACCGCACATTTCCCCTCCCCTAGCTCATTTCGCACGACGCAGCGGTTGGGAACACAGACATTTTCGGAGCTGGAGCCGCCTGCGCCGGCGCCATTTTGTGCCTGTGGAGAAAGAGGCTCCAGAGGCGGCTGCAAGTGGACGGAGATCACCCGTGAGAGGGCGGCGTTGCGTCCCCGAGGTCCCCCCCGTGTCGTCCCCCAACCCCCCTCCGCGGTCAGCATGTGGTGAGGCCGGAGCCGCGAGAGAGCCGGGGAGAGGAAGCGCAGTCGGAAGGGAGGCGGGGTGTCGAGAGCGGCTTCAGCTTCGGCGGCGGCGGACCTCGGAGGGGGGCCGCGGCGCAATGTCAGAGCCGACGCCGGCCGAGGCCGGTACCGCGGGGGCCCGGGAGGACGCCTGTCGGGATTATCAGTCATCTCTCGAAGACCTGACCTTCAATAGCAAACCGCACATCAATATGCTGACCATTCTAGCCGAGGAGAACCTGCCCTTCGCCAAGGAGATCGTCTCTCTCATCGAGGCCCAAACCGCCAAGGTTTTTATACACCCCGCAGCCTCCTATTCTTCTAATACTCCCTGATTTTAGTGTCAGCCTCATCCCAGGTCTCGCTTCCATCCAAAGGGGGACAGCGTTCCTCTCCAACCCTCCCCCCCTCCAACTCTGGCTCGGTCTTGGGCCCAGGCTTCGAGCGTGGGCCTCCCTTGCGGGGAGGGAGTGGGGCGGGTGAAGGGTGGAGTCCCACTTCCGCTTACCAGCTCCCTATCTAGGCCACCGCATTGTAGAGCCCGACCCACGCTTCCAATAGAGCCCTTTGGGGAGGGGGGGGGGGCTTGAAGGCAGTTGGTGGTGCGGGGAAGTTGAGAGTTAAAAGGATCTTAAGCCCCTGG